TAGCGAATTGTAATTAGTTGACTTTTTATACTTACTCCCTAATAATTAAATTTGAATAATTATTAAAAATGTATAAATATAATATCAATTTTAAAATAATAAAAATTAGAAAATTAACTTACTTTCCAATCCATTCCGACCACTTAGATATATTCTGTTCCACGCCAATTCCGTAATAGTAACACCAAGCAGTTTTCCAAATTCCATTGAAATTACCAGCCTCAGCTGACTTCAAGTAATACTCGAATGCTTTACTTTTATCGACATCAACTCCAATTCCTAAATAACAACAATAACCAACTTGATACATTCCGCTAGAATTTTTCATCTCTGCCGATTTTTGATAATTAAAGAATGCCTTTTTTTCATCCTTTTCCGTTCCAATTCCGTGTTCGAAACAATAACCAAGCCATAATATGCTATCTGGATCGTTCTTATCGGTTGAATTTTGACAATTATTGAAATCCAGTTGATTAAAAGCATTGGTGACCAGAGTAATATCTTTTACTAATCGTTCGTCCATCAATTCTTTATTTTCCATTTTTCAGTTTAAATTTGAAAAAAAAGGATAAATGTCAATTGCCGATGCCGATGCGATATATTTATTACAAACCAATCAACCTGTAAGCAATATATCCTAAATTGCACGTACGTACGTCATACTAACAATATTAACATTCTTATTTTTTTTGCGCGGCACCTAAGTTCAATGCTATTGGTCGACATGTAGTACAATCCCGTGTTACCTAAAATTTGACGATTTATATGTCGATATCGATGGTCAAATTAAAATCAAGATTTTAAAAATTTTTTCTTCTCATGCCTAAGAAACGTGCTTTATTTGACATGAAAAATGGTAATAAAATTAAAAAAACTAACAATGTTAAAATATTTAGTGATAATAAAATGGTACTCCATTTGAACTATAAAAGGTAATAAGTCTTCTAAGAAGCCAAATAAAAAAAGGAAAGAAGAGGAGATAGAAGATGAAGAAATTAGTGATGATATTGGGCCTGGTGGTATCGATGATGTGAGCTTGGAGGACACAGATGATCAGGAAAGCGATGTGGAGGAAATCATAGAGACATCAACTGAAAAAAGGAGAAGACTTGCAAAGCAATATATTGAATCCATTAAGGAAGGTTTAGGTATTGTATATTTCTCTGGACTTTTCGTTTGTAAAACTTGCGAATTATACATTATGATAATTATCATCTCGATTGTAGATGAAACTGGCTTTGATGCAGAGGATATTGATCGAGATCTAATTGCTGAACGATTACGAAAAGATGTGGTAGCGTAAATTGTATATACGATATTACATTTGAACTTAAGTTTTCAATGAATACTGAAATATTAAGCTAATTTATTATTAGCTGGAACAAACGGGACGAGCTCATCGTATAATAGCTGATACGGTAGATATTAATGTTACGATATTTTTTTATCATTTATCGTAAAAGTTGTTTGTTAATTCAAGAATATCTTCAAGTGTGTTGTTTGGTTGCGCAACAGTTTTCGTTTCCTATAGATTCTGGAACTACGAAATCTGGTCGTCATGAACTTTCTGTTACTTGCGTAGCCTTCGCAGAATCTGGGCAATTTTTTTATACCGGATCAAAAGATCATTCCATAATAAAATGTATTTATATTTTTAACTCTAT